CTCGTGCACGACTGCCCTCGTGCGTGTTTGTGGCTGTCCCCTTGTGTGACTGTCCCCTCGTGCGTGTGCGTGTACGCACGACTGTCCCCTCGTGCGCGACTGCCCTCGTGCATGTTTGTGGCTGTCCCCTCGTGTGCGACTGCCCTTGTGCGTGTGTACACGATTGTGGCCCCATGCGTGTGCGCACGTGACTGTCCCCTTGTGTGACTGTCCCCTCGTGCATGTGCGTGCGTGCGACTGTCCTCTCGTGCGCGATTGTCTCCTCGTGTGTGTGCGTGTGTGCATGCAACTGTCCCCACGTGCGTGACCTTCCCTCATGCACATGCGCGACTGTCCTCTCGTGCGCGACTGTCCCCTCGTGTGAATGCACGTGTGCGACTGTCCCCTCGTGCGTCATTTTCCCCTCGTGCGTGTGCGTGCGTGCATGACTGTCCCCTTGTGTGAGACTGCCCTCGTGCATGTGTACACGATTGTGGCCCCACACGTGTGCGCATGTGACTGTCCTCGTGCACGACTGTCCCCTCGTGCGTGTGTGTATGGGATTGTCGTGCATGTCCCCTCGTGCATGTCCGCGCGTGACTGTCCTCGAAATTGACTATCCCCTCGTGTGTGTGCGTGTGTGCATGCGACTGTCCCCTCGTGCGCGACTGTCCCCTCGTGCGCCTGCACGTGCGCGACTGTCCCCTCGTGCGCATGCACGTGTGCGACCGTCCCCTTGTGCGTCATTGTCCCCTCGCGCGTGTGCGTGGCTCTGCTGGTACGGGCGTGCGTGTCACGATTCGCCTGGTGTGTGCGTTTGTGCGAGCTCTCTTTCTGCTGGGCCCGTGAACTTTCCCCTGTCGGCCCAGCTGCTTGTCCTAACCCCCCCTCCTCCTCCTCCTCCCTCCTCCCAGGCCTTCCAGAAGCTGACCGACTGCACCCTGCTGCCCACCGCCTGCAGCGAAGCCGCCAAGCTGGGGGGCGGCCTGTCCTCCTTCTGCCTCCTCATCAACCGCAAACCAGAGCTCTAGCCCCTCCCGCCGCGGGCTGCAGCCAATCGGTGGGGGAGAAGCGGAACACGGCCAGCTGGGGGGGAGGGGCCCAGCGGTGTGGCCACGCCCACCTGCCATCGGGTGGGAGGAGCTCCACTGACGAAGCCCCGCCCCTACTCCCCCAAATAGGGGTTCAGGAGAGCCACTTGCAACAGGAAAACCTTTTTCATATCCGTTCAGAATTTGTACGAGCAACTATTTTTCCTATCTTTCTCCGGTGGGGGGTGTCTGTTTTTTCTTTTGTGTGTCTGTTTCTCTCTCTCTCTCTCTCCCTAGGGAAAAGCGCTCCGGTTTCCCAGTTGTGTCCCGGTGGTCGCGTTGGGACGGATTGTTTTTGTCGATGGGGGCTAGCGTCCCCGAGATCGAGCGCGGTGGGAGGGAGGAGTGAGGAAGAGGAGGCTGGGGGGTGGCGGGGGGGACAAATGATGAAGGAGCCAGTGGAATCGGGACCACACGTCCTTTAGTGTTGCCTTAGAGTAGACAGGAGTGCAGCTGATCTTTTTTTTTTATAATGGGAACACATTAAAACGTTCAACTGTTGAAGCTGTGAGTGGCGTCTGTCTGTGTATCGGAGAGATGGGAACACCGGTCACACATTAGGACTGGAGAGGAGCCAGGGTATCGGCTTCAACCACAGGGCTGGGCAGCCTGTTCCCCACCCCC